GGGGGGGGGGGGGGAGATATCGTAATTAAGCGTCCGATATCTTATGTTCGAAATATAAACGTGTTTCGATAATAGCACGGACAGATGAAATTGAATTCAAACTTTACTAGACGTTGAAGAAAGAAATGTGCATCAATAGAAAGTAACATGGTCAATACGTTGAACGTTACGTAACACAATCAATTTGTTTCGATTATTCGACGCGGAGGTACTTGCTTTTACGGGTACGATTTTTACAATAACAATTAGTTCTAATTGAAAATATGCATGTACGTATACGCGTTGCGTATTAAACGAATGAAACGAAAAAAGGTACATATCAAATAAATGAATATTTACATAATCGTATTTGTTCCATTCTAGCGATTTATCGAAATTAGGTTAGAATTAATATTTTGCGTAATAAAACAAAAAGTTCAGCAAAGATTGTAATCTTAAAAAGAAAAGTAAAGAAGAGGAAAGAATATAAGATAGGGTTAAGCACTTTGATACCTAAAAATGTGCTTCTTTGTTATGTACAATTACTACATATGTACCGTCTATAACGCGTTAATTAATCGTTTCGGCTAACACGTATGTATATTTTTATTTGATTCTACTTCTTCCCAGTTTACCGACACGGAGACGTCGAAAAGAAACACTAGTTAGTACTAGCAGCGAATATTATTATCATCAAACCCGTAAAAAATTCTTTTTCCATAATCGAACGTGCTTATACTTCGCTTAATCATACAATCATTTGTTAAATACCTTTTAATGTTAAAAATAAATATTTACTTAAAAACCAAAACAACATTAACCTTACCAATTAGTTACTACAACGCGCGAAAGATATTTCGAGATAAATCACCAACTACGTCGATAAGATGTTAAATTGATCGCGAAGCCAGCGCAACCATAGCTTTTTACAGGAATCGTTTCCTTAAAACGTATGAATAATTTCGCACCGAATATACTACAATAACGATTTAAGGGGACCTCGTTCCAGACGAGGATTTCAAAAAAAGAAGAAACAAAAAAGAAGAAAAGCCACATATCCATCGATTATTTACTACGTGTTTTCTCTTTCTAACATAACCTATAATAGATCCTTCTTTTTTTACGTTATACTTTTCTTCTTTTTTCTGTAAACATTGCACTTGAAATGAGCATACCAACGAGCTGACGGAGATGATATGCTGAATAATTGAAAAATGATGGCACACGTGCATACATGCGTGTCGCGATTATTGTTTCACGTAAGCGAATCATACGTATATACGTGTACATGTACACACGACGCGTAAACACCCCTATCTAGTAAATATCGTGTATATACGGCGTATATTTTTTCCACGGTATAACGCAATTCAAGTATAATAAGAACTACATGCGTAATAGTATAATATATCGGATATTACAAAACATCCACGCTTCTAGCTCAATGTGTGCATATTAATCCCTACGTGTATATCGGATGTACCAGTCTTTTCGGGCTAAATATTTTCAGGATGTGTTACGGATATAAATAAGGAAAAGACTTTGTGTAAACGTATACCGATTTTATAATATAATTGTTCAAAGCTTTATTAAAAAGTTATAACAAAAGAGAAATACGAAGAGAACGATGGTTAGGCCTCCGATGATATCGCCCTAAACTTTTATATCTAGTTAACTTTGAAAAAAAAAATGTTATGTACATACATCGAGCAAATAATATAGTGAAAATGAACTTTGCATTGTATATTGATAGCGAATCTATTTTCGTCTTATAGCATAGTAATCGTAAGATTGGTATCATTCTCTTTGTATTTACCTATGATCATAGAATATCCTGACAAGATTTGATCGAAGAAAACTGGAATACCCTGCATACGTATCAAAGAAAGAGGAAGAAACAGAAGTAAAGGAAAGAAACGAAAAAAAGAAAGGAGGAAAAAGTAAAACCGCTGATTTCATAGTGCAATTTAATATTTGACTTTTGCCTTAACCTCTTCCGCGACTCCACCCCACCTGAGTTTGTAGACACGCGACCGCCACTGTATCAGAGGATCTAGAACTGCCTGAAGGAAAAGATAAGGCCTTGTGATCTCGCTGAGTAACCATCCGCATACGAATTCTAACTTGTTGAACGGCAACGGACCGTTCTGGACGACGCTCAATAGCGTCCAGTCGAACATGAACCACAATAGTATGTGTACCAAATAGAAAACAAGGGAGTCCCACTCGAAGAGTACGCTGGCCGCCCAGGAAGCACAGGCACCTAACACTAAACACTCGCTAAGCGGTTCAAGAACGATCGTGGTAGGCAACATAGCCACCCTGAGCTTCGCCCACCTTCGTAATCTCGCCTGGAACGAATGCAGCTCGCAGTGACCGCTATTCTGCAACGCCGGCTGCGAGGACACAGTGATTCGCCAACCACGGTCGGTCAGTGACTTTGCGTAGAAAAAATCTTCGGCTAAATACACACCGAACGTCTTTAAACCGCCGACCTCATCGAGAGGAGCTTTTCTCAGCAACGCTGACATCCCTGTGTGACAATTGATCCTAAGTAAATCAGCGGCTAGGTACATACGCGACTGTACAGTACCGAAGAAGATTTTCTCGTATGCCGCGGCAAAACCTTCGCGATCACAGGTAAACGGCATCTGATGCACTAACGCAACATTGTCGGTCATGTAATTAACCATGTCCAACAGCGTGTCCTCCTTCATCTTGATACCACTGTCACTAATCAGTACATACTCGTGTTTAGCCGCCTCGTACGCTGGTTGCATATTGTTGATCTTTGGATTCACGCCCACGTTACAACCGCCGATGAAAAGTCTCGCATCCACTTCTGGATACTTTTCGATCAGTTTACGTACTAACATCAACACCGGATCCGAGTCGTCTTCCACGCAGAACAGTAACTCGTAACGGGGATATTGCATCGTAAAGAATGTCTCTAAATTGCTGAACAGATTCGGATCAACGCCCATCAGAGGCTTTATGATCGACACACCGGGTAAGGGCGTTTCGTAGGTTGGTACTTGAGTGACTTTACGGTGCAGCTTCCAGTGACCGGCTATCAGTGCCAGTACATGAACGATCCACATTACCGACCAGAATATCATGAAAAATATAGCGAAGCCGTACAAGGTATATATCATGGAGTTCATCTTCGAATAAGGATCCTTGATACTCGGAGGCCTAACCTCCGGATAGGGGAAGGTCTCCTGACTCACCTCACCACTTTGTCTTTTTTCTCTCTCTCTCTCCCTCCTCTGTCTCTCTCTATCTGTTTGTCTCTTTCTCTTGTTTCCTCCGTGATTATTCGATCCTTTCGTACCTATCGATCCGAGCGACGATCTCAAAGCCCGCCATCCTTCGTGGATATCTAATAAACGGTATCCGCGGCATCCTTGACGAGGTTCTCGCCGTGCCGCGATCACGGATACCGAGTGTGTGGAAAAATCGCGCGGGCCATCGATGATGTGTTTTCGGCAATTCCCACGGTGTAACACCGTTTTCACGGCGATCACAACGACGACGACGACGACGAAGACGTGGCCACCGCTTCCAACACATTCACGTATTAGGTTCCCCCGCGCGGTTTATAGGGTAGGTATAGGATAGCTACGTAGCCGCGTCCACGGCTACGAGCGCTCCAAAACGCCGGCACGCTGTGTCAACGAAGGTATACCAACCGAACGTACTCCTCTCTCTCCCTCTCTCTTTCTCTTTTTCTTCCACCTTCCACCGGAACAACGATAGGAGAGATAGGAGGATCGCCCTGCTATCCACAGTTATTGACACCAAAGCACCCTCTTTGTCACTACGTACTACCAGCGATCCTCCCCAATTTTCACCGATACATTGAATTTCCTCGTTCCTTACGCGCACCCATATGTAGTTTTGACGACACAATACGAGCAAACACGACCCTCGAACGATGCGTCCACCTTTTATTCCCCGGATCTATTTCGTATTGGTTAGCAGAGTAAATTTTTCTATTGCCTCTTACCTCATTTTACTCCGCGCACAACGCTTTCCAACAATTAATAACTTTCGATAACGTTGTTTAACTATGTGCACGTTCAGCAACCAGAGTTCACCGATCCTTTCAATGCAACATGTGTAACGTCAAGATAGTACGTTCCGTTTGTGTTCATGGACGACTGGTCCCTTTCATAACGATGCGCCTACACGGCTTTGGTCCGTTCTGTTTCGACCGCAACTACGCCACTGCCAACGCGTACCGATGCATGTCATGTCGATAACCAAATTTCTGTTGCTCGATTCCAGCTGATTATGAGTAGAATAAGAAGGCGATAGAGGAAAAACAGAGATGAAACAGCGGTTTGAACGACACGTCTTACGTACAAACGACGCACCGCCTAACGTCGACGGGATAACTGGCTGCATGTGACGGCGACAGCCGGCAACTCAACCGCTTGTTCGTTACTATGTTCACAACATACTTTACCTTGACGACCTTACAATCAACTGACGTGCTCCGCGCGTAACTTACCACTTTTATGATAATCTGTTAATCGTTATCGTGCCATTATCGCACGATTTCGATTACATTCTAATCGAAAAGAAATGAATCGTTACGTAATAGAAAACTGGAATTTCTATGAATTCATACGTTATTTTTGTAGGTGTATATTTTGGCGGTATTCTGTAATTTTGAAATTAATCTTTATGTTAAATGAATTGTGTAACAAGGTTTGAAACAATAATTTAATCCCTTGTTATTGATTCTCTTTATTATGTTTTGTACTAATATTTTAGATGCTTGGAATTTTTTGTATCTAGTACATACATACTAGGTAGGAAGGATATAACGCGATTGAATGCCATTTCCTAAAGTTATTTATGCACCTTTTTGTAAAATCGTTTCTTGATATTCTGTTCATGATCTATCGATAAAATTATGTGGTAGTATCATTAAAAGTTAATTCATCTTTGTTAAAAATTAGGATGTATGGTATAAGAGTATGGTATGAACGAATTAAATAATTACGAATGAAATGTTTAATGTTTAGACGACCAAAATGCGTAAACTTTAGCTTTTGATGATTTTACGAACATTATACCGTTATAGCGTTTTACCGTTATACTGTTTTTATCTACTACATCTAAGTTTTATGTCCTCGCCGAGATTATTTAAGGAGCTTCGAATGAATGCAATATCAAACGTATTATAGGTGTGCCAATATTATCGCTCCAAATTAACGCATTTATCAGTAATATCTTTATCGCATTATTTGGATCCAGTTTACATTGGTAAATCGTATTGCTACCACGTAAATCGTGCAAACAGACGTATTAGGTATACAAAGAATAAAGAAATAATCAGTATGTCACTCACGTCGCAAGTTATTGGTCGCCGTTTTTACAAAACGCGATTTGCAAACCTAAATACAAAATTCATATCTCTGAACTCAAGCTCTTTTGTATAGTAAAAGATTGATATTAAAAAATGTACACTAAGGAAAGATTTTGTATGTTATTTTTTAAATACTTTCATATATACAATCCAAATTTTTTATGTCCTAAATTTTTTAAACAGCGGATGTTTATTTGCTGTAGACGAACTAGGAGCCTTTTTATATTCGTAATAAACTGCATCGTCCGCGCCTGACATCGAAGTCATATTTCCGGCTTTACGTACAATCTGAAATAATAGTTTAGGTAAAGTAAAACAAACAACAAAATACATGACATTTTCTAATTTGATGAGTATAATTTTTAGTCACATTAATATCTTAAAACTTACAGGTCTGGGTCCTTCTCCAGGTATTCTTTCCTCGTCCGCATCAATGTCACTCGCAGATAGGACTTGTTGTAGCAAATGACCCTGTTCTTCTCTAGATGTATACATCAAATCTGGTTCCTATTTTAATAATCAAAGAAATAAAATCTAAAGTAATTTTACAAAATCATTATTCAATGTTACTAGTTACATAATACGCACTTCTTCCATTCCTGCAAGTTTTGTAATGACCTTGTAAGCATATCCTTGGTTTACAAGAAAACGCTGACGCTTTCTCGAGTAATTCATTTCCATCGTATCTAGTGATACCAAAGTGTAAAAAAACGCATTGTATTCCTCCGCGATGGCACCTGTGAAAAAATTTAATATTTACTATGTCTAATTCGTTCCATGTAAAATAACTTTTAGTGAATTGTACCTTTTTTAGCTCTTAAAATTCGTCCTAAACGTTGTGCTTCTTGACGTCGTGAACCGCCGTGCGAAGATATTTGAATTAAGACATTAGCCTCTGGTAAATCAAAGGAAGTGTCTGCCACTTTACTCACAAATATGGTATTTACTTTAGTGTTGAATTTGAAATTTTGCAAAATTTGTATTCGTTCGCTCTGAAATTATTTGTGTCGTAAGGTATCTTGCGATTGATATGGTTTTCATTTTTATATTTATACTTACTTGACTAGTGGGACCATAGATATACGGTTTGTTCATTTTAATGGCATAATGTTTCAAAGCAAAAACGTTATCTGAGAAAACAATGGTTTTATCGCCACGCCTTTCATGATATCGTATTAAATATTGGCAGCAACGAAATTTGTTAGGATTCATCACATAAAGTAACTGCAAATAGAATAGTATTTAAAAGTTGTCAAATATATCAAATGAAATTAAATTAATATGCGATTATTTACCAATTTTTTAGTCATTTTGCAACCAAGATATTCTCTATAAAATTCCGGCGACATAGGACACCAAACTTCGGCACATTGTACTCTTGCGATAAAGCCTCTTTTTTGCAATTCTAACCAGTTGGCCTCGTACAGTTTAGGTCCAATCAAAAAATTGAGATCAGCAATTTTATCATCTTCTCGAAGTAATGTCGCGGTCAATCCCAATTTACAATGGGACTGAACGATTGTTAACACTCTTCTAAACATTTTTGCAGGAATCGTATGTACCTCTAAGAGCATAATATGTATATTAAATAATTTAATGAAAATCTGTAATTCGATCTATTTTGTTTTGAAGAAGTATATTACCATCTAAAACCATAATTCCCCATTCCTGTTCTTGAAGCCATCGCATAGTTTGTTCCGCTTCCCATGAACGTTTTTGTGTATGAGTGATCATAGAATATGTTGTGATTAAAATTCCACAACCCATAGGTTTGTCCTTTGCTTCGCTTGTGAATCGACAAATCATTGAATCGTCCGCGGTGGACCACATTTTAAATTGTTGCTTCCATTGTTCTACCGATACTCCAGAATTACATAAGACTAACGCACGTTTCCGAACTGTACAACAAGCTGTTACTCCAACTAAACTTTTACCGGCACCGCAAGGTAAAACAATAACGCCTGATCTAGCACGCCCATTTCCGAACATCTTTCTTAAACTCTTCTCCTGATAGGGCCTCAGTACAGCCGACGGTTTCAAATCAATGCTAAAATATAATTTAGTAATTTTACAGACACCTTTTGCTACATATATAAGACACAATTCTGTTATATTACTCTATCGTACTTTATGTCTGGATTTACAGTATCATTGCGAAAATCATATTCTGCCAATAACGGGTACTCCAATTCTATACATCTTTTTTGGATAACTTCAATTTTTTCCTACAACATAATTTTTTACAAATATTCAATAACACGTGAAATTTTACTTCGTGTAAATTAAGATAAAAATTCCGTACCTGATTTACTTCAAAACTAACTGTCTTTAATTCGTGTTCTTCTTCTTCATCTTCATCCTCTTTATCCATTTTATCATAGAAGGTAGTAATATCTTCGGGAACAGCAGCTACTTCTGCTGGAACCTGATCGTTAGTCGTTTCTGTTACTTTAGTGTTTCCAGTTGGAACATTAGTCACTGCTTTTGCTCCAAACTAGGAAAGATAGAAAATATTGGTATTGTACTTCATCAAAATAATTACGCTATTAATATTCAAAAAGTATTACCTGTGGTGCTTTTGTTTTGCTTTGAACATTTGTGATTATCTCATCTTTTTCATCTTCTATAGTCTTTTTCAACCTACATTCTTGAATTACAGGATCCTTCAGTAATTTTTGTAATACCTCGGGATATGGAGATTCGACAAAATATTTATTGTGCTTTAATACCAACTTTACCTTGCCATATGACAATGTACACAATTTTATAAATTCTATAATCCCATCAGGAATACTAGTTTTACTAAGTCTTTTTAAATATTCTATTATATCATGAGTTTGAAGCCCAACACTAACAGCAGCATACAAAGAATAAGCAGTTAATTTATACTAAAATAAAATTTGAATTATGAAAATTTTTTATATTTTATATGAGTAAATTTGATACTTAATTATATTTTTACCTCATGAATGTGTTCTGGACGACATACTGGCTCTGAGATAGCAATTAAAAAATCATGAGCATGTTTGTATACAGGTGAAAAAGATTCTAAAAAAATATGCCCATTTGGCGCCTAAAAAAATTTTAATAATAACATAATCTGTATACATATGTTTAAAAAATCAGATTATAAGAGATTGATTAACATTAAAAATAGCATTACCACCCAAAGTGGCCTTAAAGTACAATCAGGTTTTAAAATCATCTGCGAACGATAATCCTTTGCACCAAATTCATCTTCCAATGCTGTATCATCTTGCTTTTCAACATCATTTTTGGCTGCATCAGGTATACCTTCAGTTTCATTATCATCTAAAGTATCATCGTCATTGTATTCTTCTGGATCCTCTTTACGCTTTTTCCATTTACCTCTATCTGTAAAAGTAAGTGACAGCTTTCATTACAATATCAAATAACTTGACATTCATATATAATTGTAATAAAAATTATCTTAACTCTTATTTTATTGAAATTGCTCTAAAAATAATAAAATTTATAGGTAAAAATTGTAAAACATTTTAATGAAATAAAAGATACCTTCATACCATTGTCCTTTTTAAAACGTTTTGGTGGGCCCATTATTAATTAACAATTTAATTGTTAAATTATAAATAGTTACTTTTAACGCTGATTTATTATTTTCTCTAATTTATTTATCACTTAAATCAGAATTAATAATTTTTTAGGAGACTAGAATACCAACAACGTTAACACAATCCGAAAAATGGTTAGTCATAGATAAAATATAGTATAGATATACCTAACATTGGATGTAATTTTTTGTTAGGCTAGATACACAAAAGTTAAACTACTTAAGTCTTTAGTAAGAATTTTTAACTCTATAAATAATGATATCATGATATGATATACATTTTTTTATATTTTTAGCATTTAGACTGATTTATATAAAAAAGCATCTTTATTTGTATTATGAATGATAACCACTGATATTATTGTTCTATTATTCTTGAATGATAACCACTGATTATAATGACTTCTTGTTGTTACTGAAAAATTTATATTATAAAACGAATATTGTAATGTTAATATTGTGATATTTTTAAAATATCTAGAAATATTAAAAATTATTCATATATAACGCTGCTGTTAGAAAGGATAAGTAAAAACATTATATTTCTCTGTATCGGAAAAATGTTTTTTTATTAATAACAAAATTAATAAAAAAATATGAGGTCAGTTTTCAAAAATCGTGATGTAATAATTGATTACTCCTATTCTTCGCTCATAGGTTATCAACAAGGAACATTGCAGTTTGTAGCAAGAGCTTTCTTATTGACTAGACCTAAGGAAAAAAGACAAACCAGAGCAGCACCTTGTTCTGCCCACTTTTTATTTTTTTCCCTAAAATAATTTAAAGTACATTTACGTTAATAAAATAAAAGTATGTAACATAATATACAATTCTGTCTATTACCAGAAGGATGATCCATATCTCCGTCCATCGACGGTAACAATGGATTGAAATAATTTTCCCTTTTGTTGTGTATCATAATTTGGCATTTTTTTCCTTTGAGTTTGCGTCCATTTATGTAAAATAGTTTTTGGTAGTTCAAGATCTGTTACATAATTATTTCTTAAAAACGCACAATGCATTAAGGTTACGTCCTCCTCCTCTGAAATCTTTCTTTTATTTGATGCTTGTCCCTCATCCTGTTTTCCGTCTTCTCTCATAGGTGAAACTTGAGATCTTCCCAATAGACCTTTTTCTTCAAATTCTTTTTTCTTTGAAAGACAATAATCAATTAAGTTCCATAAATCACTAAAACAAGATACTGATTAATGTCACAATAAATGATCATATTATTCTAACAATATTAATATACCATATTTGCTCTAAAGTTTGAGAACTAAGGAACTTCTTGCCTAATGTTGATTCCTGCTGTTCCCTAAGTATATTTTGTATACAGTACTTAGTATTTGAAGGTGAATTATCACAATCCACAGCATATTTTAAATATGATTTTATTACATCTTCCATGGGAAGTAAACCTTCTTTACTAAATATTGAACAGTTCCATTGAGCTGCACGTGCAAGCATCACACTACTGCATCCTGTTATTTCCTTAAATCTGTAAATAAATAACTGCAGTTACTTTTAATTTGTGCAAACAATATATGTATTTTTAAAGGTAAAATTCAAGTAAAGCATTACTTGAAGATATCAGAATATTTTTGTATTTCTTTTGACCCTCCATTTGCTATAACTGGTATAGCAAGCCTATCAGATATTTTCTTCAGAACATCATTACGGTTCATATGTTGTGGTCTTTCATTAACAGTTCGACCATGAACCGCAATTGCTGATATACCAGTCGATTGTAAAAGTTCACAAAGTTCTAAAGTTTTATCTAAATCTGGCAATACACGAATTTTACAAGTTACAGGAATGCTCAAATTATCTACTAAAGTCTTTAAAATATTTGTAGCTATTTCTGGTTCTTTCAGAAGAGCTGCACCCATTTTTCCTACCAAGGAAAATAGTTTGGGACAACCCATATTTAAATCAATTCCAGCAACATCTTGTTCTACCATTTTGGCTACTTTCAATGCTCTTGTTGCATCGCAAGTACCAATTTGTAAAACTACTTTATTTCTCTCTTTAAGACATGTTCGAAAAGTCACTGTACCATCTGTTTTATCTATGTAATCAATTGTACCTAAAACATCTAAAGAAGAATTCATTAAAGTAACTTTTCTAATTCTTTAAACCAGGCTAGTTTTGATGAATATTTTAATACTAACATTTTCTTACCATTTTCACGACGAAATGATCGTAATAATTTCCAGTCTATTAATTCTTCCGTGTACACTATATCAGCTCCATAATCAAGTGCAAGAAGACGCATAGGAAGAGTACCAATTCGTACCATAGGTGCTAATATAAGTTTATTCTCATAATTTAATCTTTTCCTTTCCATCGTCATCCCTGCCTTTTCGTTCATTCTATTGTCAATATGTTACAATTTTTATTGTGATCTTGAAAATGTAAACTTTAATGCGGTCACAACGAATTAGGATATTTACTATAAAACATATAATTCTAATAATTTCTTATCGATACTTTTTTATCGATGCATTATTAAGATAAAAATATTTTTTCTTTTCAACATCTCTCTTACAGAAAATTAATAACTGTTTATGAATTATTTAGTACAGTGTCACACATGTTGTCGATTCTTTCTTATAACGAATAATGATAATGATACACATGATGGTTTGCTTCGGGAATATTTAGGCTAGATGGCAGTTTCATTATATTCACCGTATGTGAATCGTTGATCCAACATAGTAAGAATTTCATGTTCTATGTTTGATGATCACAGAATACTTTCAAATTTGAACGCTAAGATCGATCAACTGTCAAACAATACGTTGAGTTGCGAGTAATATGGTACAATCTTTCCTTTGTTTCATTAATTTGGCGATTGATAAATCGCTTAGAATCTTCAACGTGTACGAATTGTATCTATGAGAGATTAGCGGTCAACAGTGATTGAACGACAGACAAAGAAAAATTTTGATAATGTTCACACCATTAAAGCCCACAGAAGCAGATTTTATTGACGTGACTGTTTTAAGTACTCCTCAGCCACAAGCAACTTCAACTGTACAAAGAAAAAACACGTGAGTTTGTCTTGTCTGTAAATTTTGTATTTCACAAGCTCTGAATAATACGATATAATTCAAATGGTCATGATATGTTATTAGAAAAAAAAAATTAATTACTCTTTTCAGATTGGAAAACAATGTTCTTAATAGGGATATTGAAGAGGCTATTTGTAAACAATTTGTTAAAGACAAAAATGATATTACGCGGAAGTCTACTGAGTCATCTCTTGGAATACTGGACAGTATATCTTCCTGTAAATTCTGTACTGTGTTTTATATAGTTTATAGTGATGGTCATGATAAATAATGTATCTTTATAGTTTTAGCTGAAGTAAGTGGAATAGATGAAGTAGAGAAACAAAGTGAGAATAAATTGGACATAGAATGTGCTAGAAAGCTACTTCAAAGATGTAGTGATATAAAAAGTGCATCTATTACATATGGTAAAAACCTTAATTTTTTAAACATAAGTCTCTATTTGTAGATAAATATTGAATATGGCTTCTTACCATTGCAGATACAAACAAAGAAAATAATACAAATATTCAAAATTTATCTAGTAATATCATTCCTTCAACATTAATTGATTATGGTCAATCCGTATGTTCCAATCAAATTAGTCTTCAGAATGAAAATATTTCACATTCAGTTAAGGATAAAGCAAATAGTGTAAGTATGATTTTTTATGAAGAATTGGTTGGGATAATTTATGAGTGTCATATATAGGTTGTTTTTGAGCCAAAAGAGATCAGTGCACGTTCATCCGGATTAAGTAGAAATTCGGAAAATAATTTATCATCATCAGCTTCAAGTAAAAGTTTGAATCAAATAACATTTGATTCAACAACTGCTGAATTGATGGCTCAATTTAATAATGAAGATTTTCGTCCAGCTTCTGAAATGGTCAATCAAATGTTAGCTGATGAAGTATCTTGGCAACAAAATTATTCCTATGCTCTTCCCACAACAGCTTCTTCTGAAAAAGAATACTTAAACTTATCCTGTTTTTCTGGCATCATGGGTGAACTAGATTTATCAGTAGAGTAAGTACATAATTGCAAATATTTTGCATTGCAAATATTATTAAATATAATCAAATACGATTAAATTTTAGATCCTGCGCTGGACATAAGGTATCTGTGAGTGAATTTTTTAGAAGAAAATGTGGAAATTTTGGAGAATTATCGGATACTGGGTTAGAAAGGCCAAGTTTGGGTCTATCAGTAAACAGTCCAAAAAAGAAAGATCATCTTATGCCTCTAGTTGATTCAACTTGCTCTTCTGTAACAGAAGGTATTACTTATTTGCATTTATTGAAATAAATTTCTTGTATATCTGAAAGGCTATTTCTTCTTGTAGATTCCTCAATTGGATCTAATATCGCAAAAGATAAAACTCAAAATATTCCAAATATAACAAGAGATGTGGAAGAGCAAAGTATTATGAGTTTGACCAGTATCGCTCAAGCACTACAGGATATCGATAGTGGCACGCCACGAAGATTAGTGGATCAACTCATCATGGCAAAGAAAAAGAAAAAATCCACGCAAGTGCAAGAGAAGAGTGTAGCTAGAGATACTTACACATTATCGCCTTCAAGTAGAAAATCCATGCCTGCTACTTCAAATAGAAATATAGATAATTTCGGAAAAGATGTGGGATTACTAAATCTTTCTTCAAAATTATCTTTAGATAGTAAAACCATCAATGAAACTGTAGATATTAAACATTCTATTCCAAGAATGCTTTCATTTGACTCTAACTCAGGTACAAAAATAAACTATGAGGCGATTTCTCAGGAACTTAAGAGAGAGTTAAGTAGTGGAAACTTACCATCCTTATACAGTCAAGGTATAGTTTTTTCCTAAAAATTTTAAGTTTTAATCAACTAATAAGTTGTTTGAATAAATTAAGTTTAAAACTATTCCTATATTTCACTTCACTCAAAGAATATTATCTCTTTTAGAGCTTAAGTCATTGTTGGTAGACTCTACATTAACTCCTCCAAATTATGCAGAAAACAAAATATCACCTTATACTTCGAAAATTAACGCAATGATTAGTCATGAGGATAAGTCTACCGGTCTTGAAGAAGAAGAAATAGGAAAAAAAGAAAATATAAAAAAGGAAAATGTTTCGTGTAAAGATAGATCAGAAATTCAAAATATTTCAAATTTACAAGAATCTTATGTTAATAGTAAGATATAACACAATAAGTATATCATCCTCTAATTTGTTCTTTTATGATTTGTTTTGACTTTTATGATTTTTATTTTTTATAGACGTCGTGATTGGTAAAAGTACAGAAGAATTGTGCAGTTGTATTGTTGCTATACCTAGAGAAATTGATATCGAACTCTTAAATAAAAGTGATAGATGGGTCATTTGTGCATTAAGCGTAAATCAAATTCAAGGAGATAAGCATAATGTCCGACTTACACTGCCGAAAGATGTTATTCTTATTAAACCAAATGCAGAACAACATGTTAAGGTAAAAAAAAGACGATTACAAATTTACAGTAATATAAAAATTAAAACATAATTATTTCAGATTACCGTAATAGTGGTGAAAATGTGTAAACCAATTATTGCAGTTTTAAACATAACAGTATCAGATATGGTAACAAGAATTGAATGGATTATGAAACATATTATATGTCTCAAACCCGAAGAAGTTGATATAAACGTGTCAAACTCTTCTCAAAAAAAAGAATTAGATTTTCAGTATATTGCTGAAAATAGCATAGCAGTCTTACCTATTACAATAAAAAATAAAAATAATGTCGATGTACCCATCAAAATTTCTATACTACAGGTGATAATTCCGTCTAATTAATCTCATATGTATTTTATTTGTTATGTCTGCTATCTTTTTTTTTTTAATGCAATGTAGAATGAACCAGCAATATTTAGCTTAGAAAATCCAGAAGAATCACAACACATTACTCTTAAATCTCAAGAAGTACGCACTACAAATGTTCGATGCAAGGCTGTTGCGCAAAAAAATACTGAGACGCAACAACGATCCTTACAACATTACGCTGGCACTTTAATAATTCAAAACGAAAGTACTCCAGAGAACAGTATAATAATCCAAGAAATTCCTCTTATTGTACAAGTAGGAATTTATAAGATACAAGCTATTGATACAGACTTACCTTTGGTTGTTCCTAACAAACAAAGCAAGCCCTTGACCGTGATTAATCTTGGGACGATACCGACGCTAATAACAGCTTTATTTATCCAAGAAATTGAATTAACAAAAAATTCAAAATATTTCTCAGTTGAACCAGAAAATTTACTTGTGCAACCTAGGGAAACTGGGTGCTTCTTTATTACATACAAGCAACAAACATCAGGCACTCCTAAAATGTGAGAGGACATTTTATAAACCTATATAATATCATAAATGTCTTTTTATTGTTTTTTGCATATATTTATAGGTATGCAAAAATTAAATTAACTGCTGGTGGCGATGATCATTACTATTCTGTAATCGGAGAATCAAACACATATACAGAGGCAGAAAATGAAAATGTTCGATGTGAAACACCTCAGTATTTACCACCTGTTAGTTCTCCATCGTCTCCGCATAGCGTGGTTTTAAACAAGTAAATTTAATATTATATGTTATATTAAGCTTCTACAAAGTTTTACATGTTGACATTTTACACGATAATAGGTCGGGCGTATCTGGCAGAAATTCGCCTCTTAGTTCAGTATCTGGTTCAACTGTTACTGGCGATAAAATTCCTATCAGAACAACTCACGCTGCTCTGATATGGAATAGCGTGAAAACAGGAAAGTCAGAAATTAGGGAATTCACTATTCGTAATACAAGTAACAACAAAATAAGGATACAAGCTATTATATCGGACAGTGAAAAAAATTTTCGAGTAATATATTTAATCCACTGGAATATCATTTAATTAATATTTTACATTTATAAAAACATTTGACATTCTCTCAGTTTCTTCGAGAACGACAGCCCGTGGGTATTATTGTATTAGCTCTTGGAGGTTTGGAAAGTAGGATGCTGTCCGTTCTATTTAGTCCTCATCATATAGGCGCAGCGGCTGGAAAAATAATATTCAGACACTATGAGCCAAAAAGAGAAGAGTCTGAATCTGGATCTTCGAAAGTGGTAAATAAACGTATTGTTTGTTGAAACTCTCATAAATTAATTAATATTTGAATCTATTTGTAATATATCATTTGCAGCTATTTCTATATGGTTATGGGGGTTATAGCAAAGTTGAAATTTCAGAAGCATTTAAAGACACAAGCGGAAAAATGTGGTTATCCCTTGGTATTTTAAGGTGCGGAAGAACTCCACGTGCAAAGATCAAATTACAAAATATTGGAGATCTATGTTCCTATGTTAAAATCAAATTAATACCCAAAGGTATCTTAAGTATATGTATTGTAAATGATCATTTTCTAAATTATTTTTTAATAATCTTAGCTGTGTATCCTACTATGGCATCGAGTTGGCAAGTAAATCCAACTGAATTGTTGCTAAATTCGAAAGAAGTTCAATGGGTGACTTTGGAATTCGAACCGCGAAAGGAAGATCTAGCTTTACTGCAACGATCTAATGTCTCACATGTTGGAACCCTATTAATTACCCATGGAGATGAACCTACGCGCTGGCGAATTCGTAGGTGAGTAATATTAACACATTGACTGTCACTATACCTGTATTCGGGTGTCGGCAAAGGTCGGGTCGCGTAACCCATATTCGGGTGGCGCTTATTTGACTACTTGCAAAGGATTGTCGTAGGTATTTGAAAAGATATTCCAGAGGAAATAATAGAACTGTTGAATTATTATAAAAATAATACGAAAATGGTTTATTAAAAAAATTATTTAGAATGTAAAACTTTAAAGCATTCTATAGATAACTGAGGTTGGTTGGGACAATTTGGACAATAAGTTGTTGTATTCTTCAAATTCTTTTGTGCCTTTATTCGGTCCATTCGACGTCTTTTATTCGCATAACATAGTTTGCACGCGCGTCCAATGCTTTTTCCGGAATCGTTTTCCCGAACGACGATATTATGCCGACTCCGTCGAAGACAAGGAGTTTTTGTATTTTCAGACAACCCTAATAATTTTGCAACTAATAATCGTCTAAATATTCTAATATCTATATTCTTCCTTGTTGCAATTTTGTAAACCGTCAAAGCGTTTACAACAGAATTTCCCAGAAGGAGTTGAATGCCAAGTTTTCTGTACCATTTGATTCTTTTTCTAATTGTGGTGACATAAAAAACCATTTGGTCGGAATAATTTATACCACACTTTCCTTCATTATATTCAACAACAGCTAGTGGTTTTAATGTTGCGAACAAACGAAACGAAAGATTCTTGAGACCACCACATGAGCGACTCGCATTATTAAAATATCGATGGGAGCACCTAGCAGAGAACGCTTGGTACTGCTGCACGCGTGGCCTGACGGAGATTTCTTTGAAAACACGCGTGGCAGTCAACGTGTTAAGTTTATAAAAAATTATTCAACTTTTCATTTTTTTATTTTTTATTTTTAGATTATATAATAAAATGAAAGAAACAGGCGAATTGAGTGGAAATGAAAATGAAACTTTTAGGAATATTATTCAACCATTATGTAAAACTTTTTCTGGAGAACAATTAATATCGGATATAAATGCTGTACGAGATTCAGTGGTAGGTAACAAGGAATTTACTAACTGCTCTAATTAATAAATTATTTATAAATCTAAATATTATTTAGCAAAATCTTGGGGACCTTTGTCAAGGGATTCATCAACATGAAATAATGTTAACGGTGGAAGTGTGCGCCGATGAAACTATGTCCGTTCTTCACGATAATGCCGACGAATCACAAATGTTTTATTCTCTTTGTAGTGACAATAGTCATATATATGAAGGAAATGGTGAAAGTTTCCTACCCTCAGAGTGAGTGTAATAAATAACTTAAATGTCATAAAGTTCAATAGACACTGATGTTTACTTAAAGAAATCTTCAGGACTTTTGTAGCAAATAGTACATTTCAAAACGGCATGAATGCAGACGATTTTATGATTAGCCCATCTGTTGTAATTTTAACTCCACCGACTAGATCAGAAGCAGTTGTAACAATAAGAAGTCCTTGTACTGTGGCAGAACCGTTCGAAACTTTTTTATCAAATACGGAGTATTTAAGAGTCGTTCCTGCGGAAGGAATGATACCTACTAGAAGAGATTTTCAACTAAAAATACAGTGTAAACGAAAAATCGAACGGAATCTCAACGCGGTTCTTGAAATTTATACCGAGAACAAAAAGTTTGATGTACAAATAAAAGTAACAGTTAAGTAATTGTAAATTGAAATCTTAGAATTAATTTTTTATTGAAGTATTTATTATACAGATACTACAATCCTATAACTTTTAATTTTTATATCAGCAATATTTTTACTATAAATAAATTAATCAATAAAATCTTTATTTGTTCATAACATATTCCCTTAATGCATCATGGTGTACATTATTTATCTTAAATTGTACATTATGCCGTGACTGGAGAGCTTGTATTATTTGGACCATATTCTCTACATCAGACATTCCAGAATGTAATTTTCCAATCAATGGGAGTTTAAGATGTAAAAGCATATCTGTTAAATTTCGTGGATAATGATCTACTGCGTCACAAAAGCTACCTTTTAAATTTATCCACTTCATAAATTGCTTAGGTAATGATATATTTTCTAACTCGCATTGGCTTGGTAACATGAACTTTAAGTCCCAATCACCGCATGTAACAAATGCAGAATCGTTCCCGTCTTTAAAATATTTGTGTTCTTCTAACCAATTACAAAATGTTCCAAACACTTCTGGAAAGTAAGGTTGATTGTCTACCAGGTCCTGTATGATTCCAGTAAGTTCTGTACAAAATGGAGTAAGCTGAGGATGGTATTTTGGCTTAATATACTCGTGAAAGACGTTTTCAACTTCCCAACTTGTCGTAGACACTGCTGCACAGGGAAACTCGATAATTTCTTGTGGATCAATTTTCTCGTATTTTTTGCAAGTGCATTCAAAGTCCAGTACAAGCAAATAATTGAACGGTTGCTTAATTTCTTTAGTTCCTTTGTAAATAGATCGAGGATATTTCGTGAGAATTCGTTTCGCCATTATTTCATTAAACTCATGAAAAAAATAATTACTATAACCTCTGTTAAAACGAAACAAAACGTTCCAGAATATATACAGGATTAAATAAGGTTAGAAAATAAATGGTTTATTGAACTGGAGGATTCCTAAAGCCACTTATTTAGTTACAACATTTGTAAACAAAAAAACTTAAAGCATATTTTTGTTTTTAATTGACAAATACTATTTAAGATACTATCAAACACTTAAAAATACGTCAGATTCTGGACATACTTGACGCAAATATTTCAATCACTTCCGGTTTATACTTATAACTAGTAACTAGTGAATGCACGTTTGAATATCAATTTCGAAACGACTTGAAGTTTTTCAATACCATGGGAATACGAATTACTTTAAACATAATTCGACATTAAAAATTTTTGAATATCCTAGTAAATCTTAAATCTTGAGCCATGAAGGTTTACGAAACTTACATATGTATATAATAATATTGTCACTGATATAATGACATGTCAGACTATCATTGAAGAATAAATTATCATAAAATTAATAATCTACAACTTGACCAAGCTTTTTTAATCGATTAAGTAACGCGTCGCCTCTTTTTATGATATTTTGATAAATTAATCCTCGATCGCATGAAACATCAGGTGCTTGCCCTCTGTTGCAACCAGCAGCGCTGATGGTAACGATCATTCCAGCCACTTTATCGATTTTACAATGCAATTTGCCATTGGCAATAAAATGTGCCACTTCTTGTTCTATGTATTCTTCTGTCACGCCAAATTCTGTCGCCATTCTACTTAAATTGATGGTCCTGTATGCTTGCAATAGCTGACAGTATGCCCTCAAACGCATCTCTCTTACGTAATAACGATAATGGAAATGAAGCAAAGGATTTGCTCTAAGCTCGCATTCTATCCAAGCGAGATTTTCGAAGAATTCTTTGTAGTGACAATCATAGAGAGAATAAAAAAATGCTCTGTATTTGGGAGCCTCAGTGAGCAAAGCTTGTTGCAAGAGGCCATTGTTGTTGAATCGAGAATCAATTTCCGATCGGGATAAGGAAATTATTCCTGATAATGTTGTGTATTCTACGACCTCTTTGAATGGCAATAGTTCATAGGATTCAAAGGTTGGGATACAGTCCAGCAAAAGGCACGCAGCGCGAGGAAAGTTTCGCGTTGCCAGATAGTAAACAGCTTCGTACACTTTCAATTTATTACGACAACACCAATTGCTGCCTGATGCATGAGAACCTTCCATCAGATTTGTTATCTTGGTAATTATTTGCCCCATCGAGCGAATATTATTTTTTATGTGTGCTATTCTAAACAAACCGAATGCAGCTTCGACTTTGATGCTGGATGAATTAGTTTCGTCGTTTACGACGGAGTTCGCAATGTCTGTGGCACGATCGAGATTACCAGTTTCACAAAAGAACTCGAACTTTTCTCGCCAATTTCTTTTTTCAGTGTCCTCAAGAGTCAAATTATCAGAGGACTCTAATTCCTTCCACGTAAGCTCGTTTTCATGCTTCATTGCATCGAGAAGATTCTCGTCAATTTTCCAGTCGAATGCCTTACATACATCTTCGTAGTAACGTGTCATGTTTCCGCGTTTTATTATATCGAGTAATTCAGTTTTTAAGTTCTCATCATTTTGGTATTTTGGCAGAGTTAATTTAAATCGGATTTTGATAAGGAATATATGCTCAGGAGTTCTGTGACACAATTCTGAATTACTCATGACTTTTATTTTTACTCATTAGTCTAATGAATATCATACGACTTTTGGATGCCAGTCTTTTGTTTTTCGATTTATATTCGCTTATCATTAGATGTAAAACAATTTGAATTATTAACATATTTTGCATAATGTATTTCGATAGATATATCAACCAATCAGCATGTGCTATTCAAATAAAGAAATGGCGCATTTTCGTTACTCGCAACCGGCATTGATCAAATGAGCGCCAAAACCTAGATTCTAACCTTTTAGGTAACTTTTCAAAGTTTATCATACAAGTTCGAATTATAAACTATGACAGAGAAACCTACTCAAACCACCAATTTACCATGGTAAAGTTTATGTCATCTACAGTGGAGTTTCAAAAATAATCGAATAAGTATAAACAATAACATTGTTATTTTGTTCTTTCAGGGTGGAAAAGTATCGACCGAAAAAATTAGATGATTTGATATCTCACGAGGAAATCATCAAAACTAGTTAGTATATGTGTGAATTTAATGATGTTGCAAAAATGTATGATTATCACTCGTTTATTAAATTATTATTTTTTGTTACAGTAAATAAATTCATTGATGAAAATCAGCTTCCTCATCTCCTTTTTTATGGGCCTCCTGGTACAGGGAAAACAAGTACAATACTTGCTTGTGCACGTAAATTATATACACCAGCTCAATTTAATTCAATGGTTTGACACTTTGTTATATATCATCTTTATTTTGTACAACTTACTATGGTTTATATATAGCGTTCTTTTCCATACAGGTATTAGAAATGAATGCTTCAGACGATAGAGGTATTGGTATAGTTAGAGGACAGATCCTTAGCTTTGCAAGTACAGGCACAATGTACAGATCTGGTTTTAAATTAATCATCCTTGATGAAGCTGATGCTATGACAAAGGATGCCCAGAATGCTCTTAGGAGAAGTAAGTTGTAACATGAATTACTTGCTTTAAGTACGAAAGACACATTCTATGCAAAAATTGTTTCAGTAATAGAGAAGTACACAGACAATGTAAGGTTTTGTATTATATGTAATTATCTCAGTCAAATTATCCCTGCCCTTCAGTCTCGGTGCACTAAATTTAGGTTTGGCCCATTGTCTACAGACCAAATTTTACCAAGGCTAGATACCATTATTAAAGAAGAGAAGTAGGTATATAAATTATGATAAAATATTGTATCTATTACTAACACTTTTATATATGCTTCAGTTTAAATGTTTCGGAGGATGGAAAACAAGCATTGATAACATTGAGTGGAGGAGATATGAGGAAAGTTTTGAATGTCCTCCAAAGTACTTCGCTTGCTTTCAGTGCAGTAACAGAAGAAAATGTTTATTCTTGTGTAGGACATCCTCTTCCAATTGATATAAAAAACATCATCAATTGGTTGTTGAATGAATCGTATGAATTATGTTATTGTAGTATCCTTTTTATATAATTAACTGCAGTTATTCATTTCTAAATTACGATTGCCTTAACACATGTTTAGAAATACAAGACATAAAACTAAAGAAAGGACTGGCATTGCAGGATATATTAACAGAACTGCATCTGTTTGTAAATAAAAGTATGTCTCTTAGTTATCAATTTCATAAAAGATAAGCGAAGATATTAGTTTAATCATTTCGTTTTAGTTGAATTTCCAGATTCCATACTTATCGATTTAGTAATTAAACTAGCCGAAATAGAGAAAAGAGTATCTATTGGTTGTAGCGAAGCGGTACAATTAAATGCCCTCGTTTCAGCATTTCAGAGAGCTCGCGATATCGAGATTTCTTAGTGCGTACAACATTTGAGGATCGAATTCTATGAATTGAGGTAATATCGAATTTGAAGCACTATATCTTCGTATAAAGAATTTTAGAATAATACTTAATTTGGTAAGAATGTATTATTTACGATTGTTACTATGTATAATAAAGAAAAAATCGAGATTTTTAGAAAACCATACACATGAAGCAATGGATTCTCCCATGCGCTCCTATCCACCTTGTTTTTAATTCTATAATAAATTAAATTCTTTCGTGAACGGTATCAAAGCAGTAAATTTCTGAAAATATGTTGTCAAGGACTACATCACAAATCAGTCAAATCATCTAAGCGATACAGTGCTTGTTAATTTTTATTTGGTCCTATCCATGTATCCTCGATAATTCATGTGTATGGAACAGTTATAGGAACCTTATCCCCGAAATGATAAGTTTTGCCGGAGTAATAACTGACAGACGTATTTAGATGTATCTGGTGCAATCACCGTGTGACGATAACATTTGATCGTACAAGTGAAACAGTGTCCGCCAGTGGTCCGACAAATGTCGCTCAATCAGCACGCGATCATTCAAGTACCATGTCGACAAAAACATATCTAGAGACTAAACATGCAATGCTACACTATTTTCTGCACTGTGAATACTTTCCAGGATACTTTGGTAATTGATTTGTTTTTTAAACTATGTAATTTAAAAATCTTTGAATTACATTATGCATAGTACACAAATTGTACAATTTTATATATTTAGAACGGAAATGTTCCTTTCAGATTCCTACTTCAGATTTCATATTTCCTTTCAGAATCATGTTTAGAGAAAATGGTTTTCTTATGTTTTATTTCACGTGCAGTAAATCTTTTTCGAAAAATAACTAAAGTTATGTTTCAATTCGCCCATGAATTATAATCCTCGATTATTCTGATATTTGTTTTGGCAATGATTCATATAAAATATTTTTCGTTTAACGTGTGTGCCATTACGGTAACGGTATGTTTTATCCAGTTTTAATTATGCTTCCACGCTCGAAATATTTTGTAACTTTTACCGAAACACGACACTTGCTGGCTTGTTCAATTTCTGTTCATGTTCCGTAATTTCGAAGGGAATTTCCACTTGAACGAGTGGAACTCGGCCGTGAGTGTTTCGTCAACTATAATTGCGTCCTTCGCCTAATTAGTTGGCATTAATAATAATGTATATCAGAGAAGCTCGATGAAATTAGACGATACGAAGGAATATTAATCATTTGATTACCACTAATGAATATGTATCGAAAAACTAGTGCGGTTTTGCGCCAGCGCTCAATTTACATCGCTGGCACGTGTTAATACGTTGTACATTATTGTTACAGCCGTGAATGGAGAAGCTGCTTGCATATATCATAGTCCTGAAAGTGAGGCGAAACTGCTGAAATCGTCCCAGTCTATATCTATGCCTAAGTAGAATAACCTGACACAGGACCGGCACGCTATTATCTTCCTCTCCTTTTCTCTCGTTCTTTGGAATCCTCGCAATTCATTAGCGAATACAGGTCCCCAAACAATTCCTTATGTTATAACCTTATTTCATCAATTTTTAGTTAACTTATTAAAATAAAGTGAAATTGAATTTGATTGTTTATTTTTTTAGGGAAAATAGAAGAAATGTGAATATCGTAGAATTATATGTTCTGATTAGATAGGTATTACATCGGAATTGCGATTTAATCACAAATAATCATAATACAAGTATAGATTTTAATTCAGAGTTTCACGGATAGTATTAATATAGGCACTACTACTGCCGTGGATGGTTTGCGTTATAAGTTCTTATATCACATATAAACTGCGCTGCGCCGACCTTGTTATACATATATTCCCTTTACATAAAGGAGGATCATGCAACCGAGGATTTTATTCTTCGACTTCGGTTAAGAAGTAATGTAATAATTTTTCTTTCCTTACTTTCTTTTTCCAATTATCATATGCACTGTACAAGTTTTCTTCGTTTTCTTTTTACATTTGTGAAACTTTCCCAAATTAGCATACAACACGCACCTCTTCTTTTCCATTTGTGTTCGCTCGAGTAAAAAAAAAAAGGATTCTATTGCTCGTAATTTGTATTCCACGCCTTTTCTCATGCAAACTATTCAAATATTTCAACGGACTGACCAGTGGAGCGCAGATTTATCGGCGGAAAAACGAGCAGACTATAAAGTGTAATGCGTGTACGATGGTACGTAGTGAATTTTCGAGAATTGACTAGCTAACTATTTCATATTGATCACAGTCGTTTTGTACTTCGCACGAGATCGAATCGTTTTACAAAAGCGAAATCGATCAGACAATGAACCCTGGAATTAATAATTAAATAATATTCATACTCGATATCAAACGAAACTTTCAGCTTAATAAGAACTTCGCAGGGTGAGTACGCGAGCACCCTTACTAGCACGTCGATTCTCCGAGTTATTTCAGCTTGAAAACTTGGCGCAGACGTGCCCTTAACTTTCTGCTTCGAAATAACTAATTCAATTAGTATATCAGCGCTGCTATACCCTTCCCTTCTATGTTTGACTACATCTTTGCATGGTGTATCTAATCTTCGCGCTAACGTTAACTCTCGCATTGCTAATCACCTGATAAAGCTTCGTTGGGAAATCAACTGTTCTCGTCATTTTGATTTTGACGTTTATGGTAAGATAATTGTAGTATTTGATTTGTATAGTCATTTAGACGTTTAAGTAAATGCAAAGTAACATGTTTTGAATAAATATCAAGAAATTTGATTACCCATTTTTTTAAGCCATGTAAAAAAAGTTATATCAGAATTTTGTGTTACTAGAATTTTTCAAGAAGACTTCCAAAGCGTCGTTCATGTTCGATACAGAAGATAGAATGAATACAAACGAATGGAGCATTCTTTACCTTCATCGATATTACACGGCGATACGTATTTTCAATTAGAGCCATGGAAAAAGAAAGGCTAACAGCAGAACTATCTGGTTCTGCGTCTCTTAGGGATTTTAACGAGATTCGGTGTGGTGAATATGCATTTCGTTCTGATATCCCACGTTACGATCTATAGTCCATTACTAAACTCTATATAATGCTATAGCTAAGTCTCCGTCTAACTTCAGAGATTTCGACTTTCCAAAGACTTTCGATATAAATACAAGTATCTGGACACTCGCAGAAAGAAGTCTACTCTCCGTCGGGTTGTATCAATGTCGATACAAGAACAGAAAAAGTACAAAATAAGCAGAGAAAAAAGAAAAATAAGAGAAACGTGAAAGAAGAGAAAGAAGAAAGAAGCACGAAGCCACTTCGATCGGCCATAAATCCAACCAATTCTTTCCGCGACCACGTTTCAATCTCTAACCATCACTAACCATCTCTAACCATGGAGATACAGGCAATCGAGCATGAGTCTCCCCTTGCATATATTCCATGATATTCGAGCGTTTCTACGCGTTCTTGATCGTCCGTGATCTCTGTTCGCTCCTTGTTAAGTGATATATGTATAGTTTCTGAGATTGAGTAGAGAGTGCAAGTCACTCAAAAAACTCGCTCTGCGCAATGTCGATGATATTTTTCTTCGTTTTGAACCCAGTAAAGCGCAATAAACGTTCGCTTCGGATGAATACTAACGTTGCACGATTTTGACGTAGTGTTCGCTGTTTGCTCACAGCATCGATCCGTTGGCAGCGAAGAGAGTAAATCTTTTTGCGCTGCTTTTTAAATATAGAACGGAAGAAACGAACTTACCAGAGCGTCGATTGCGATAAAACTGGTGTCTGAATATTGGTATTGCAGGTGAAATTAAAGACTGGGATTATATCTCATCTTTAACAAACGAAACTGTTCTTCGGAGGTAGAAGGACTGATAATATAGTTCGCGTAAAGTTTATTGGCTATTCAAAGACGTTGAAGAGAACGTTTATCGTTGCACTGTCGTTCGACGTTTAAGTATATTAAGTATCGACATTTGAAAAAGACTGTTACGACTGTGCGCTTTATACATACACGTTGTTTTGTAAACCTTTTGGGCAAGTTTTAAAGTTTCCATTACGTTATCTTTGCATCGTAATGCGCTTTTTAAAACCTTCATCTTCGACAATCTCATAGCGTATAAAGAGATTTATAAGCAAATGATAGCGATCTTTCGTAAGAGAAAGCGAATTATGACGACGAGATATAGCGTCCCGTGCGTGGAAGGATTCTTAAATTCGTCCAAGAACCTCGACAGAGGTCCCAAAGCTCTGCCTACTCTAGTAGCATGATTGTAACGCTCATTAAGATTCAGGGTTGAGCTGAAAATAGCGTCGAGATCGCTCGCGGTGGCAAGGATGGAGTTCTTCAACGTCAACATTAAGTTTGTCTCGCAACGAACCACGTCGCAACTCGAAGTGAAAAAAGAAAAAAGAAGGAAAAGGTAAAAAGAAATCGGCCACTTCGTTTTCTCACGCGCTTCGGTAATTTAGTCGGTGTTTAAAATGGCGTGTTTCACGCGAATATTTCTTGCCCGATTCCCGCCGGCTTATCGATTCGTTTTCTGCTTTGGGGGCAGCTCGACAGGATCCCATGATGCTTAGAAATTGAAGCATAGTGGAAAAAGTCGTGATGTATGTCGATAGCCCACCAAAAATTCCTTTCTCCGCTCTCTGCTATTAAGCATCGTTCAAAGTATTTTTGCCAGATACATTGAGCTTTTCCTTTTTTTATCCGTCTCGTTGCATCACGATCGATGGTCCATTTGAGAAGAAAGAAATCTTAGCCGCGTGTTTTCGAAGTTGGCGCGTGCTGAAATAACTCGTTCTCAGGTATACGAAACTAGAAGAAAACTCTGATCTCTGCCTAATTATCACAGCACGGACCTTCACGCGTATCTTCTGCTTCGTATGTCAACGATCGACTCGTTCACGGAATACGATTGACTAGAAAATTGTTTGCTCCGTTTCCGGATCCTTTTGCTAGAGTTTCGTGTTCGAGAGAACATAGAGAAAGAAGAAACTGCAAAGCTTTTAAGCGATGAGAATCAAGAGAGTTTGTACAAGGGTGAAGGTAACTGAACTTTTGCGAAGGAAGCCTGACACCGCGGCTTTAATCATAAAGAGGTAATGAGTGATTCTTTATCCTCTTTAATTCGTTGTTTTGTTACATAACAAAGAATCGACTTCCTTCGTAGAAAAGTTTGGTGTTAACTTTGGCTAACAAATAAAGTACATCTTAGAATGATAATTCTAGCTAAAACAAAAAAAAAGTAGAATGAATCGGGCGAGACTTCATATTTGACACAGAAAAAACTTGGTTTAGGATACATATATATTGGAAAATACTGTTACGAGAGCAACGTGCTAAGCTAAATCCTTGAGAACTATAAAATCTTTATTGACCGTTTATTTCTGTGTATCACGTACTTTCGTCCTTTACGTTTCTACTCTGTCTCTACCAAGTGTTTCATTTTTCGTGGCCACGGTTTCAACTACACGAATATTTGGTGAAAATTTGCTTAAAAATTTCGCTACAGAATCTGGAGGTACGTACATACGCATAAAGGATCGGGTCTGAACATAAATTTGCAAAGACTGTTAAACTAAAATGTTCGGCGCAGACAACGCAACCGAGAGATCAGCCTTCTCCAGATCACGTGGGAATGAAGGTAGAGAGAAAGAATGATTACCAGCCTTGCGGTGAAGTAAGAAAAAGTGGATTTCGTAGGGGAAGAAGTGGAGCATGTCAATCATGTCTTGGAAGTTGAGTATCTCTGTGTTGAAAAATGGTGTCTTAGGCCTTCGACTATTTTTCCAGTGCGCTTGTTTCCTCGAGGTAAAAGACAAAAAATGTTATAAAATAATTTACGTCGTTTGTACATGAACTGGAATATTCTGAGGGAGATCGAATCAGATCATTTAATTACGAATCATTCTTTTTTGTTTGTTTAAATCATAGATGTTGCAGTTCAGTGAGAGAAATATGTAATAAGTAATAGATGTTGGTTAAGAAAACGCAGGCGTTTCGTTCAGACTCATTGAGTGAGTACGGCATGCTGAAATAGGTATACGGTGGTGCGGCTCGATGCTGATCGCGGAGCTTGACCTGGAGAGGGGGAGCGTAAGGAGAGGGTAGAATTGGTGTTTGGAGGGGGCTGGCGTTGTCGTTAGTGCCGTAAGTCGACACTCAAGAGCCTAGGACCACTTCAAGTGACGGAAGATAGTCGGGGCAAACCATTTTCGAATGTAACTTAACATTTTTCTATAATACATATTCTTAACTACTTACCCTTCTCAACTTACCTATAAAACATCTTTCATTTTAAGGTGTACATTAAAAACGAAAGATAATATCGTCAGATTCTAAATTACGAGCAAGAAGAATTGGATATTATTCTATAATGTAACTGAATTTCGTTATTTACGAACGTTCGCTCGAAGCGATAAAACAACGCAAGATCTCATGCAAGGACTACCTTCTCATCCTGTCGCGAGATTTACATTCTGAAGCATCGACGCGCAATTAAGATACAGTCTAGACTTCGTACAACTGCACGCTCGGCGGATACTTTAAATGGAGGTTTCTAAAAACACAAGCAAGCTTCGAGTGATAGCCTCGTCGTCTGAAATTTAGTATCATTATGTGGTCTCTTCGAGGCGGGATAATCTCGTGGCATTGTCGCGAGCGAAATGACAGCCTGGCTTCGTGTTAACTACACTCGTTCGCGCGATAAATTATGGAACGGCTGCAACAGAGACGGATATCTTTCGCGTACACGTAAATATAGGCTTGTTAGAGCTTTTTGTGTTTGTCTTGTTAACTATTTCGCATGCACGAGCTTTTTGAAATAGCCACCTTTGAAGAGTATTCTATCGATCGTTTTTTTTTTTTTTTTGTAGTACCACCTCTGAAATTATTAATAACGTCTGTTAGATCGTAGATCGTTTATAAATCATTACTTGTTAAACATTATTTTAAGAATTTGTATCATTCTCCAGGTACTAGAGCTTGATAACGCAAATTGTGATTCCTGCCGTTCCTCCCCAGTGGATCAGACCATTTCTGATAACGACTTATTTGTACAAGTAACATTTCGTTGCAGCAATTACTTAGCATCACAGGTGGAGAAGGGAGGGAGGAGTGTAGAAGTAGAGGGAAGCCCAGCTTTGTGGCTTGTTGTCTAACTAATTCAAGAGAAGCGAACTGCCGCGACTCGCAATCGATAATTCCCGCTCGAATCGTTTAACAATGCTTTATCAATATCATTCTGATATCGATAATTGTTATCCCTCCAAACGGCTGATTATTCTTCTTAATTAATTGTCTGGAAGAAAATCGTGTCTCTTTGCTTCCATGTCCGCTGAATTTATGCGTGAAATATTCGCCAAGCTCGAATATCGATGGTGTTGCGGTTTTCTTTTAATTATCTTCGCCAACGTTCGCCTCGAATGGCCTAAAATTCTCGGCTCGACTGGAAATGGTCCATTTACGCGCACGTATTTGATTGCAGGCTATTCGAGAGGGGAAGCGTTCAGCCGACGAGAAACAAGAAATAACGGGGAGCACAGAAGTGGCGAGGAAGAAAAGTAGGACGGGCAACGTCTTCACCTCGAGCAGCCTCGGCCGTTCCTCCTTTTTTCCAGACTGTAATAGCCGGTTTTCGAGTGCTCGAAATAAAATTTTACTAATACACCCCGGTATGACACGGGCCTATCGCCGCGCCGCTAGCTTGTCGTTAATCGTCCATTCGCCTCCGCCCCTCGACGCTCCGTCGTTCATAAATCGTACTAATTCATCGCTGAAGTTGCTCTACATGTACGTATCTCAAATTTTCATCTCTAATTCCAATCTCGTAACTCCTATAAAACGTTTTTCAAAAAATTTTTTTAAAGATTCTTGATACATTGATCTTCTATCATCCCTTTTATCTATGTAAATGGAATTGATTCGCTAGTAGCAATATATTGCT